CTAGTATATTCAGTACGTCTTCTTTACATCCGAGATTTAACGATCGATAAATTTCAAGCCATGTTAAGGAGAACATTTTATCCTGCTGACATTACTGACATTTAATTCATAAATTATTCGTTTGCAACGATTTTTTAATTCTGTTGTTTATATTCTTGGGTTGATATGCAAAGTAATACCCAATGTTCAAATCATAGAAGCCATTAGAATAAAAACAATTGTAAAGACATCAAGATCGTTTCTAAAAGCAGGATTATTTAATGAAAACGCGAAAGCTGAAAACTTGTCCATCAGGCACTTTACGAAGTTAAGAATAACGAATTGATTAATCATGTTTTAACTGGCGAGTTCTGTTGTTTATAGTACGTTTCAAAAATAGTGACATGATAGATTAGAATTAGGGTAAAATAACTCACAGGGGTTAATGAGTGTGAAAGAATCAGAAAAGAGATAATTACTTATTATTACTAAGGAACGAGAACAACAAAAGCGTAATAGACAGTAAATAATGATCGACTTTTTTATTTAAAATTTTGAAGATCAAACTTGGCGGGAAAGTATGGAGCTGGAACAAAATTCCACTGGCGAGAAGTGCGAGAAGCGAAACTGTTAGCAGAGAACATACAGTTGCATCTAGCCAATTCAACTGTAAATTGATGAGACTTTGTTGCTAGTATAACGCTTCAATTCATAAAGTTTAGATGCCAAAGCGGAAATTCCAATCGGAAGAATAACCATGAAAGTATTTATAGAAAAGATACAGGGAAGTTACATTAAGGCAATTAGTAGGTGACTGAAGCAGAGATGCCAGGTCAGGACGAATATTATTATGGATTCATCTTTTGGATTTTATCAGGAACCTCGGAATACATAACCGAAACACCAGATTAGATCTAAGAGCAATATTCAAATATGGACGAACGTTATAAATACGTAAGGAAGATTCTGTAGAGAAAAAATATCTAGATGATCATATTTTCAGAATTTAATATACCCCTAAATTGACTAGTGTAATGCAAAATTATGTTTAATCACTGATCCCGTCTGCTTGTATGGCATTCAATATATCGTGTGAGTGTTAACTTTTTACGCCGCCTTCCTTCATTAGGTAACATAGAATCTTCACAAGTTTTTTTCTCATTCTAAGTAAAAGTGTTCTTTGGTTCAAGATCTTCAATACGAAATTAAATTAAGTGGTAAAGAGAAAAACATTTTAAGGATTTTAAAACTTGAAGGATACATTTTTTAAAAAATATCTTTTGACAAGTTTAACATTCATCTTATTTTCATTGTTTTTAATCGCAAAACTTTAAACGATTTCCCGTCCTCAAAACTTGAAGTAGGATCGTAGATGACAATGTATATAAATACACATATCTCTGAAATTGACAGTATATTCATAGATTTATATCATTATAATATTAATTTTTCACCGAGACTACATTAAATTAAATAGTATGAATTCAAAAAAAAAATATTTCCAAACACCTTTCTTAATAAATTGTAAGACTATTCGATTTTATCGCTTTCATAAGTTTTACGACTGTGGTGAAAAGGGATATACTGGAGTATAATAGAAACTAACAACAAATAATAGAAAGATAAGCAAAATTTAATTATCGAAAAGTTTTGTTAATATACGCGCAAATATTTCGATACTATCTTGACTTCATTGTCAAAACTAAATGAATGACCATCTGACTGAAACATCATTAATGAGAATTGAAAGTGAACATTTCCAAAGAAATAGATACTGTTATAGACACATTAGTCACACCTTTCTTTGAACGTGTTGAAATAGAAGATTAAAATAAAGGTTACCGACGAAATCTACGGTCCATAACACGGAAGATTAACCCTTAACGGGCGATAAAAGGCTGTACGAATGTGCACGTCAAATAAATAAAAACGAGAAAATTCATTTTTTTAAAAGATCTGCTTATTTTCACTGAAGTATTATACACAAACGATAAAAAAACGATTATTTCACATATAGATTATAACATTACAGAAGAAAAACAATTAAAGAAAATGAAACAAAAATTATTCATATTGATCGGGTCTTTCCACTAAGGCAGGGTGTGACACAAGGTTATTTTAATGTGGGGAGCGCCATTTGTATAAATATGCATAAAGGTCAAGGAAAATAATTGTAGTTTTTCTCAGTCCCCTCGACCACTGTTATGCCGGCATCGGTATTAAACCGAGCCACCTCTCTTATTGCATCGAGGAAAGTGCCGCGCAGGGTTCGAATCCCCGGGTCTGAGCTACTTTTCCCATCTAAAATGAGGAGAAAGATAGCTCCAGTCGCAGCAATGAAGCAATAACCAATCTTCATTGGCTAATGGCTAACTCCTTTACCTGGTAACACCAGCCTTTAATTTCTAAAATTATTTTTTAGCAATTTAACGTTTCTAGGAATATTTCATGCGCAATGGAGTATTATATTATTTGAAACAAGTGGTCACCACTTTCGTCTCTTTCCTCTCCAGGAACTGGCTTACGGCCACATCGTATTTAAACATTGGTTCCCGTCCAATCACCGAAGTTAAGCAACGTCCAGCCTGGTCAGTATTTAGATGGGTGACCTCTTAGGAATGCCAGGTACTGTAAACTTGAACCTGGATGGTACAATGAATAAAGACTAAGAATTGTTAAAGGAGAGCCGAATTCCATTTCCAGTCGATTTTGTTATATTCACTTACGTGCCAATGCCATTGTGAAAGGTATAAATCCACCTCCTTGCCCTATGAGTTAATTAGTAAGAATTGTATCATTAAAATATTATTATCTAAAAAATAAATTCCAATAAAAAATATTTTCTGGCTTTAAATAACCGGCAACGGGTTGGTAAGCCGTAGAACACGAATCAATCAATCGTCAGGCATTATACATGAAAGACGGAGCACTCTATTTGCCTTGCTTTTGCAGCTTTTATTTGCAGATAAATTCTTCAGAAAATGACTTAACATTGTAAATCCTAGTAAATACTAACCTCACGAATCCTAGTTATTTAGACTTGGATCATAGATTAATTATGCCAGTACCATTAGAAGAAAATTCAATCATCATTTGACAATATCAGTTAATCTCCAATAAAATATCAACTGAAGATTTAAGTCGCATTTTAAGTGTTAATAATCAGCCTCTGCTAGGGTGGCTTGCTAATCAACTGCCTTCTAAGCGACATTCATATTTCTTTAACTACCACAGAGAAAACATGTGGCTCATACTTCAATTATTATATGATTTCATTAATAAAATCTTCCGTCACACAACGCAAAATCTGGCGTATTCAACAGATTTGAAAAAGGCCAATAACCGCAATCCTTTGATTTATTTGGTTTCCCTTTTTTTCAAGCACATTTACACACCTCCCCGGTCTTTTGAACAAGAGGGGAGGTTTATTCCGTATTTCCTATGTAGGATTGGCTATCCGGTTCCTTCGAAATTTTTTCATCTATAAGAATGGATATGTTTGATTCTCGTTCGGTTCACAAACCCGGCTCGTCTTTTGATTAAGAGTAGAGTTTTATCCCTTGTTTCCTGTTTCGGATTGTTTTTTGTTTTTGTTTGGTTCCTTACAAAGTCTTTTACATTCTCTTTCAGACCCAGTAGCTATTTGCAATTTAACGGCATTATCGCCTACCTTGCAATGAAAAGATTTTCATCTACACAATTTCCCTCGCAAAATTTGAGTTAATTCGCGACATTGCTTACAGGCGCTTTACATGTTTGCCGTACACTGTGTTCATCTACCCGGGACGATAACGTCAAGAATATCAATTCTCTGCAGGTACTTAAATCAGTATTCACAATTACGAACATGTTCCTCCATCCAATTTCACTCACAAAGATTTGGTGCTATAGTTTTCAGTCACATCCTAATGATGTCGCAAGTTGGGATTATCTATTCATGCCGAAAACATGAAAAAAGTTACCACCCTGACAACTCAAGGAGAATTAGATTCAGACGCATGTCTCATATCAAATCGTTCTAATCAATCAGCCCCTCGTCCAAATATATTTCTTTCTCCTTTTTTATAACATTCTACGCATGTAATTTCCTGTAGTACGGACACTATGCGCTTTCAGGTCTCCTAAAATCCATCCGTCTTTTTTTTTTTTTAACTAATATGTTGCTTATGTAAAGAAAACATTAACTTGCCCACGGTTCGTAACAGAAAAAATACTTCGAAGATTGAACTTTTTCAACGCGATATCGAGAAATTTAGAACATAAAATATGTCAGATTTTGAAATATTAATATCTGAGGTAAGATCAACACTGGTCAAAATGAACAGAAACAAAGTAGTAGAACTTTTAATTGAGAGCCTATCACCCTTAGATTATTTCGGCAGGGGGAGGATTAGAGAAATAATAAATTAAGATAGTGGTGATATACCGGAAGACCTTAAACAGCTTCGTAGCGTTAAGAAGTCAGATATAGACGAATGTGAGATCCATCGGCTTAATATACCAAATAAATATGCTTATATTGATTCTGATGAATAAAGCAAGTTGCAGAAGTAGACTGGAATTAGGACGAGAGCATTATTATTTATTATTAAAATAATGGAATATTAAATGTAATACTCATGATCAGAATGATATCAGAGCGAGCGACATATTTTCAGAAAGACGTATATCAATGTTCCAAAAACAAAACACCAGATTTTAACATGTATAACAAAAAGATCTATTTGAAGCAATAAGAAAACATTATTTGGGAAACGAAGAGGAATCTGCAATATTATCCGTCTTGACATTTCTAGATCAGTCCCTTTCAACCCGCCGCAATTTAGCTTCCCACTGTCTTTTCTATAAATACTTTCGTTGCAATTGTTTTGATGAGTTTCCCACCTTGGTGCTTAGACTTTACGAATTTAAGAGCACTTCTATATTGGCAGCTAAGTCTCTTCATATTACAGTTTACATTGCTAGATTTAGCCATAAGTTCTCGGCTAACAGTTTCTTCACTCTCACTTACAGCTTACAGAACCTACTTCCGGATTCTTGCTTTGTAGTTAAATTCGTATATAATTTTTTTCAGATGTATTTCAATCGTTATCTTCTGTCTATATTTCTCTCTCCTTCATAGTGTTTTACTTTTTTTCATATTCTTTCCCATGGAGTAAGCGCCACCTCCCTGTGGATTTATTAATTTGCTCGTGGTGAAATGATTTAAAATATCCATTTTTTTTTCTTAAAATTGAATTCTAATGTAACAAGAACAATATCATTTTCTTACTACTGGAAAATTACATGCAATAGTTATGATCAAAATGATATCAGAGCGAACGATACATTTTCAGAAGGACGTATATCAATGCCCCCTACATAAGAAAAACATGATTTTAAAATGTATGACAAAACTTTATTTGAAATAATAGAAAACAACTTCATTTATTTACAATGTTATGAGTTCTGACCTGACATCTGACTTCAGCTACTTTCCCACCGATGTAACCTACAATCTCTGTGATTTCTTCTATAAATACTTTCATTGTGATTGTTATGATGACACTTCCTCTATGATTGCTAGACTTTATGAATTTAAACACAGACGGTGTACTAGTTTGGCAATAAGTTTTAATCAGTTTACATTTGAAATGGCTACTACAACCATAAGTTATATGCTGACAGTTTCTATCTCACTCTTCCCGCTTTTGGAAGATCCTTCCGGCTGCATACTTTCTAGCCATCTTTTGTGTTTGAAATTATAGATCGTTATCCATCGTTATCTACTGTTTTGTTAGTTCCTATTCTTTTGTTGTTCTCGTTCCGTTATCTTTTACTTGTCTCATATTCTTTCACACACACTAACCGCTGCGTCTTGATTGTTTTGCTTAGAATATGTACACACGCACATATATATATATATATATATATATATATATATATATATATATATATATATATATATATAGATGTGTGTGGGTATGCGTGTGCATTCAAGAACAAAAAGATTATTTAGGTTTGTTAGCTTATTCGCAAAGCAAAAGAAAAGCAGAATCTTAAAAAAAAAAAAAAAAAAAGACACATGAAAATCCCGCTAGAAGTTTATTCTTAATTTCTAGACGTCCAATTTCTTAATATCCTTGCTATTTAACAATCGTAGAATGACAATATGGCGTCGCGATTCAAAGCATCCTAAGCAGCATGCAAAGAATATGAGTAAAAAATAAATAAACATTGCAATTTATTTAAGAAATTAAAACATAAAATTAAATCTTAGTTATAAATAAACAATTGAAATAATACGAATAAAATTACTTAAATTATTAATATCATTCGGGTTGTTATCCTCATCCGGCCTCATCCAGGTGAATGGAATTTCGAACCGAACCCTTTCTTTCAAGGACACATAGCCCAGTTGGTTAGATCCAGTGACTAGACCCAAAGGGTTGTGAGTTCAATACCAGGCTGCAGTAGTGGTGAACCAAAACTTAGAGATTTAAGTTAAATGGAAATAACTGAGACACACGGCAGAGGCATGGCATGTGGAGCTAGAAAAATATACGCCGGTGGACGAAATAAATGGCTAGGCTCTAAATTCCAATCACCTAAAGAAGACCGAAGCTTACGACAGCTGAAACGTTGTGAATATGGCAATGAAAATGAGGATAACAGTCCAAATAATGTAAATAATGTAAGTAAACATAATACCTCATCTCAGAGATATAGATGCGAACAAAATGATAGTCAAACAAGAAATACAAGCAAAGATTTATCTACAATTCGCATACTATTACATCTATACATCAACTTGACAAGTTTTCTCGGTCCGTGTATAAGAATTGTTCTTTAAAATTTACTGTCTTTTTTATTTCCATGTTGAAGAAAAATTGAATTGAACACACGCTGAAAAGAATTTATGCATAAGAGAAGATATGGAATGGTGATTGCCCCCTGCAAATAACATCTTGGAGGGCGTACAGTTTTTTTCAGGAATATTATGAGAATGTTTTTTTTTTTTTTCAAAATGGAAAACGCATAATGATCTCCCATTAAATCATTATTACTTGCAGGATATTGAAAGCTGAAGGTTTGATGAGAAGAAAAGTTATCAGAAGATTCTCTTACTAAACATTTATGTGCCAGCAAAACGTGGGTGATCATGGCTCTTCACACCTTCCTATCATTTTGAGCTCAATGTATATCGTCTCCCACTCTGTTCTAATATTTACTCACGCTTGTTAGTAGATCACTCGATGTCCGCCTCTGCTGATATTGCCTTTCCTTCCCGGATATGACGATAAACTACACCCGGCAGCAATACCTCTGACAGCGAGGTTTTGAGGAGCGTAGAACTATCTTAATTGCTGTTGTTCTTAGGTACACCCTACCTCAAAATGGTAGCAAATATTTAACCGGCAAATTGGGGTAAAAAACTATGAAAGTATAAAAATTCATTGTCTTAGTACCCCCCCTCCCAAAAAAAAAACAAAAAAAAAAAAAAAACAGCAACACATTTTTGGAAAAGATAATTACCAGCAATACACTTTTGTAAAATGAAATTACTAATGCTCCGAATATTAAATTTCAATATTAAATGACCCATAAGGAGTTGATATGCCACTAAACAAACATGAACTTTATCGCCTTCAGTA